CTTGTACTGGCCAGGGAGTTTATCTGCACTTTCACACCAGAGCAGTGCAGCGGCGCAGGCGACTCCTCCAGCTGCCATCACTCTCTCCCACAATGCCACGCAAGGCACTTCCAGCCTAACGAACCCTAATTAGCCTGCTGTTCTGACTTGCCCAGAAGGGCAGGACAGAATCATGCTCAGCAAGCTGTCCCTGCTAACAGCTGCCAAAGGCTGGCACTGCTCCCTGTCTCAGACCTCAAGTCTCCCACCAAACTCTTCATAGGAAGTTCGAGGACATCACCTGCCCCTCTGTCACCTGGAACTGACACAGAAGCACCCCATGGATCTGACACAACATCCCACCCAGGCCATGGCCCTCACTCAGCACAGCTACTCAACCACAGTTTTGCTCTATAACAGGCACCAAGTGCCGTGGCCAGAGCCACAGTGTGCTTCAGTTAACCACACCACATGTGGAGGAGAGACTGCCAGGCAGAGTAACTGCCTCTGGGTACACTGCAGGGAAGTTTCTCTTCAGTTCATTACCCAAAATTAACCTGCAAGAAGAAACTGGCTTCCCTCTGCAACATAGCCCAACCTTGACCTGCTGTTTGCCAATGTAGTTCTGCACATCCTGCACGATGCCCATCACCACACCAGCATTAGATGCTCTTGTGTTTGAGCCCAACCTGTTGGCTTGGGCAGCACCAGTGTGCCAGGCAACATAGTCTCCAAAGGAATGGCATTATTAGTACAGATGAAGGTGGCAGCCCCAGCAGGCAGGCCAGGGACCACCTGCATCCATGGCTGAGGAGTGGGTAGGGGGCAGGTCAGCCCCGCTGCAGCAGGGCCCTGGTAGGGCACCAGTATCACTGGGAACTGGCATCTCATGATGGGAGTCGGCTCCAGCGGGAACTGCCCCGCTGCCGGGCAGTGAGTCAGTTGCACGCTCAGTTTTTCCCGCAGGAATGACCTGAGGCCCCAGTGCTCCAGCCCCGGTTCCCCCCCACATCGGGCTCTGCAAGGTTCCGCTCTCCCCGGCTCGGAGGAGCAGGGAGGAGCCCCGACCTCCCCCGAGGGCTGCTCTGGGCGCAGAGCCCCGGCACCCCGCGGCTCCCCACCTGCAGGTCCAGCCCAGCCCCGAACATAGTTAAATGCTATGGGGGAGGAGGACGCATTCACGACCCCAGTCCTCAGGCCCAGCCCGCCTCCGGCGGCGTCTCAGCGCGGGGAGGCCAGGGATGGAGCAGATCCCTCCCGGTGCCCTGGCACCCCCTTCCCGGTGCCGGTACGCACCTGCCGGCTACCCGCCGCCGCGCCGGGGCCGGTGCCGTTGAGCAGCGGGGTGGTCTCTCCCGCTCGCCCGTCCTCATCGTAGTCGTCCTCATCGCGGTCGCGGCCGGACCAGGACACTTTCTTAGCGACGTTGGCCATGCAGGGCGACAGCAGCACACACCTCCGCCGGGCCTGGCCTCACCGGCCAGTCATGTGACCGCCGGGCCACCGCCCTCACGTGAGCGCTACGGCGGCCGGCGGGCGCTGCCCTGCCCCGCTGCACTATGGGTGTTGTAGTCCCGTCGACCTCGCGCCCTGGCCTCACTCCCGGTCCGTAGCCGCTACTGGCCCGGTCTTGCCGCGCTGGGGCTGCCGCGGGCGGGACAGCGGAGGCCCGGAAGGCTGCAGGGCCGCAATGAGGCTTTGCCCCACGCGGGGCCCACGCACACCCGTATCTGAGCAGCAAGGCCCTGCCACAAGCCCCGGGACGTGTAGAGGGGCTGGGGCCGGAGCTGCCCCCAGTCTCCGGGCAGAGTGTGCTGCAAGGCAGCCACCTGGGAGCGTTCTGTGTGCTTCACCCGAGGCCCCAGCCCGGCCCAAAGCGATGCTCCACACGAGGAGCCCCTCGCACGGGGCCAGGCACACGAACAACCCGCACACACTCCAGCACCTCTGGCTCATCCCAGTCACAGGCTTTTCCGTGCTACAACTTCCCCGTGGGTCTGACTCAGTGACAGGTGCTGGCAGAGGCAGGGGATGAGCAGGGGACACCCCTGTGTGACCCAGCCTGGCGATCCAGCTGCCTGCGCGAAGCAGATCTGTCTGGCCGTAAGTGGCACCAAGCGTTACAGTGAAGAGCAAGACCAGAAATCAGGTTTCTTCCCTGCTCAGAGCACTTTAATAGAAATGATGGGGTGGTACATCCTCTGCGGGCAGGAGCTAATGACTTTCCAGCACCAGGACTGCGTCTCACCACTACCTTTTCCTTGTCCCCACCTCTGGTGGTCCCAGTGCTGAGATGCTCTCTACAGCGTGTCACATCACCTTGGGAGGATGCAGCTCATGCTGGCATCGGCAGCGTGAGCCAGCCGTGATACCGCTGGGAGCCGGCACCGTTCCCGCTGCTGGGCTCATCGCAGGCAGTGCTGGAGGCAGGGGCACGCCACCCTCTGCACGCCATCCCGCAGGGAGGCATCAGCCAGGGTAAGGAGCGGGCCGTGGGGCAGCCCCTGGCCGGTCGCCATGCTGGCCACCTCTCCGGGCAGGAGAGCCCGGCTCCAGAGTGCAACGCCAGCCAGGTGACCCACAAAAGCTGCCGAGGTGCTGAAGTCCCTGCCGGGGTGGTTCTGCTGCCCCCCCAGCATCAGTGAGCCACCGGCAGGAACCTCATACCCCTGCTGGAAGCCGGAGCCAGCAGCCAGCAGCCGTCTGTCCAGATAAAAGCGGTACTGGCCCTGGGCAGAGGACCAGATGAGGCAGAGGTGGTGCCATTCACCATCCAGGAGCGGCGTCACCGGTAGCTCCCGAAGCTGCCCGTCCCCGATGACAAACTGCGTGGAGCCGGGGAGGTCCCTGCCACAGCCACGCACGGCCAGCTCGCTGCCGCCGTCCTCAGTGGTGTAGGAGAGGAGAGCACCGAGGCAGGGGGCTGGGGTGGCCACCCAGGCACAGAGCGACAGCGCCCGCAGCCCCCGGCGTGGCCCCGGCCCCAGGATGGCTGCATGCTCGGCAGAGGTGTTGGGGAAGAGCAGGACAGCACCGGTGCGGCAGGCTGGGGGGGTGGGTGCCGGGGTGCGGAGCCTGTACCTACCCTCTCCTGGCTGCTGGGGGGCTGGAGGCTGCTCCTGGGGGACCATGGTCACAGTGGAGAGCACCAGTGCCACTGCTTGGGCTCCGAGGGCTGCGTTGTGAGCGGGCTCTGCATCCTCCCTGGTTGCTCCATCATGCCCAGCGGCAGCCGGCAGCCAGTGCCGTTCCTGAGGCCGGCGGTGCTGCCACTTCTTCACCTTCCGGCGCCGAGGGCTGGGGGTGCTGGGGGCCACCCGGCCATGTGGCTCCCGCTGGCTGCCCCAGCTCCGGGCAGCATCAAGCGGGCTGTGTGTCTTGGTGCCGGCCTCCACCGGTGCACCCAGCGGCTGGGTGAGCAGGCGGTGCGGTGGGCTCAGGGCACCCACTGTTCCCTCCAGCCGCTTCAGTCTGCGGTGCAGCCGCCGGCCGGCAGCGGCCAGGCGGGCCAGCTCTGCCCCCAGGGCAGCCCGGGCAGTGGTGGCTGCCTCTGCTTGCTCCGCCAGTGCCCTGAAGCGTCCGTCGATGTTGTAGGAAATGTTGTAGTTGCCGGCGATGCTCTGGAGATGGCTCAGTGTCACCTCCTGGAGCCGCTGAAACTGCAAAGGAGTGGGGTGAGGTGGGGTGAACCCACAGCCCCGTGCAGTGCTCGGCCCGGCCTTCCTCAGAGCGCTGCGTGCCCCCCGGACAGGCCGGGTTGTGCCTGCCCCCCATCCCGGCACCCACCTGCTCCTCCAGCCGCCACAGCCGCAGGAGCAGGGGGCCAGGGCGGGCGCCGGGCCCCTGGGTCAGGTCGCCCTGCAGGGCAGCAGTGAGGAGCAGGCAGAGGGGCAGCGCTGTCCCGGCCATGCCGCTGCCGGACGGGTTCTGTCTGCGCGGCAGAGCCAGCTCCAGCCCCCGCGGGGTCCCCCGGGGCAGCCTCCCCCATGATGAGATCCGCAGCCACTGCTGACGCGGGCCAGCAGCCGCCATCAGCGGCCAGGGCTTGGCGGGGGCCGTGGGCCTCTGCCCAGGCGCTCCCCGGGGCTCCGGCTGCCCGGGTCAGGGGCCGTGAGGTGAGGGGAGGTGTGGGGAGACCCTGGGTGCACGGCCCGAGCGGGGCAGCAGGGTGGGGATCCGCATGGCAGTGTGGGCAGGACGGTGCAGGCAGGGCAGGATAATGCGGGCAGAGCAGGATGGAGCGGGCAGGGCAGGACGGTGCAGGCAGGGCAGGATAATGCGGGCAGAGCAGGATGGAGCGGGCAGGGCAGGACGGTGCGGGAGGGCAGGGTGATGCGGACAGAACAGGATGGAGCGGGCAGGGCAGGACGGTGCGGGAGGGCAGGGTGATGCGGGCAGAGCAGGACGGTGCGGGAGGGCAGGGTGATGCGGACAGAGCAGGATGGAGCGGGCAGGGCAGGACGGTGCGGGAGGTCAGGGTGATGCGGACAGAACAGGATGGAGCGGGCAGGGCAGGACGGTGCGGGAGGGCAGGATGATGAGAACAGAGCAGGACAGTGCGGAGGGCAGGACGGTGCGGGAGGGCAGGATGATGCGGACAGAACAGGATGGAGTGGGCAGGGCAGGACGGTGCGGGAGGGCAGGGTGATGCGGGCAGAGCAGAATGGAGCGGGCAGGGCAGGACGGTGCGGGAGGGCAGGGTGATGCGGACAGAGCAGGACAGTGCGGGAGGGCAGGATGATGGGGACAGAGCAGGACAGTGCGGGCAGGGCAGGACGGTGCGGGAGGGCAGGATGATGCGGGCAGGGCAGGACAGTGCGGGAGGGCAGGGTGATGGGGACAGAGCAGGACAGTGCGGGAGGGCAGGACGGTGCGGGCAAGGCAGGATGATGCGGGCAGGGCAGGACAGTGCGGGAGGGCAGGACGGTGCCGCCAGTCTGAAGCCACCAGGGGGCGGTAGCGCCGATTGTAGGCGGAGCTTCATTCCAGGGGGCGTGGCTTCAAGTGGGAGGTGCCTGTGCGGGGGGCGTATCCCGCGGCGCGGGGCGGTGACGCGCGGCTCCGCTCCTGCCCCGTACCCTTGAGCCGGCGGTAGAAGATGGCGGCGGCACCGGCTCTCGCCCATCGCATCGCCCGCTCAGGTGCGCCCTGCCCCGCTTCCCCCCGCGCCCCTCCGCGGTGACACCGTGTCCCCTGCCCCCCCCCTGCCCTGGGGACAGCCCCACCGCCCCTCCCGGCGTCCCCCCGCCGTGGTCAGGGTGCCCCATGGCCTCCTTCGGTGGCTCGGGGTGTCCCAGTATCCCTCCCTGTGGGGCTGTGCCCTCCCCGGCCCTACCTGCTGCTGTGCCTTCAGGTGTGCTGCCGCTGTGCCGCCGGCTGCCGGCGTGGGGCAGAACCATCCGGCAGCCCCCCAGCCCCTCGCTTGCCCCGTGTCGTGCCTTCAGCAACAACAAGATCCAGGTGGAGATGAACGAGAGCTCAGGTACAGCCGGTGGCACCTTTGCGGTGTCACCCTCATCCTACGGGGAGTTGTGGGGCACAGGCAGGGCCCCTTCCATGCCTGCCCCATGGCATGTGTGGCACTGGGCATGGAAACCACCGGAGCCCTACATATTCCAGCTTAAGCTGCTTAGGACCCTCAGAGAGGAGCATCTGGGGACGAGGGTGTCACCAGTTGTGGTCACATCAGATGACTGGGTGCTGCTTGGGTGCCACAGGCAAACCCTAGCTGTCACCGTGGACAGACCTCGTGCATCGTCCCCTCTGCAGGGTCCCTGCTTTGGAGACCTGGTGGAGTGGCAGGCGCTCCTCCAGGGAGCAGCTGTTGGGATTGCTGTGTCCTGCCTGCCAGGAATAGCTGTCATGGGGCCATGTTCCCGCACCAAACAAAGGGTGCCCCTTCTTGAGGCTTCCCAGAGCCTGCCAGGGCCCTGGGTGCGTCCTCATGCTGTCCGCAGCCTGAGCATGGCCACAGCACACAGACCAAGCACTCCAGGACCTTTTGGGGAGGGTAGCGCTGTTGGGAGGGGACAAGGGCTCAGAGCCCTTCCCTCAGTGCTGGACAGGGTGGCAGGGTGGGAAAGGTGTGTGATCCCCTGGGCATGGGATGTTTGCTGTGATAGCAGCAGGACCCTAAGCCTTATTCAGTGAGCCCAGAGAGAAAGGAGCTGATGGACAGTGTTACCCCAAAGGTGTCTGGTCTTTGGGACTACAGGGTATGTTTGTCCATGCACCAGATTCACCTCTGGCTCAGTGAGCCCGGCTTGCAGGCAGGTCTGGCCTGTTCTTGGCCACACCGCTCTGAGGGCATTTTGAAGAGCCAGGAGTGGGAAGACATGATCTGGATGAGCTGGGAAGCACGGAGGCGGGTGCAGTTCCTTTGGGCAAGGCACTGTGAGCAGTGTGTTGGTGGGGTTCTGATGTCTCTGTGTTTACCGTGGCGCAGGCGTTGCCACAATGAAGTTCAAGAGCCCCCCAGTCAATAGCCTCAGCCTGGACTTCCTCACCGAGTTCTGTATAAGCCTGGAGAAGCTAGAGAATGACCGGGCCTGCCGTGGCGTCATCATAACATCCGTATGTGTTGTTCTGAGCTGGATCTAACGTGCAAGCAACGGGTTCCGCTCCCTTCCTCGTTCTTGGTCTCTTGACTTCATGGTCACTGGCACGGGAGGGCAGCGAGGCAGCTTTGATCAGCTTCGGAATGAGGGGAGGGGATTCTTGGAAGTGCTGCCCTTTTCTAGCACAATAACATCAACCAAGTATTGTGATTTGTTGTTACGATCAAAGCTGCTTACCTGCAGAGCTGACACATCCCTTGAGATCTCTTGAACTGTCCAGGGGATGCCAGTTTCAGCTGTGATGTGTGTACAAAGTGGGTGCCTGGGAATGGGGCAAAACAGGCTTTGTGCTGCATGACTGATGTACCAGCACAGGCATCCTGATAATAAGAAATCATGCTGTGAGCAAAGAGGCCTGGCCCTGCAGCCCATGGTGATGGGATGGTCCAAGCTGTGGGAGTACTGGGGAGATTGTTTCAGAACCCCAAAAGACCCTGGTTCATGTCATATTTAATTAGTCCTTTCCCTTTCCTCAGGCTGTAGGTTGAGTGCATTAGGGTCATCCCTGAGCAGTGACTCTGAGTGATGTTTGCATTTTCCCAATTCTAGGCCATCCCCAAAATCTTCTCATCTGGGCTGGACATCACTGAGATGTTTGGGAAGAGCACGGAGCACTACGCCGAGTTCTGGAGAGCTGTGCAGGAGATTTGGCTCCGGTTGTACAGCTCCAACATGGTGACACTTGCTGTAATCAATGTATGTTCTTTAGATCCACCATCCCAGTCACCCTGAGTGGTCTGTTTTGTTTGCACCACATGGGCAGGGACAGCTTAAGCAGCTTGTCAGTGCTGAAACAAACACAGGGAATGTAGTTGTCGGGATGTCTGGGCAAAGTTGGGTGATATGGTTTAGAGCGAGGTGTCCCTGCCCATGGCAGGGGGGTTGGAACTTCATGATCTTAAGGTCCTTTCCAACCCTAACTATTCTGTGATTCTCTGATTCTAAGTTCATGTCTGTTGGTCAGCACACTGGGGTGTGGGAAGGTCTGGAAGTGTGGGATGCTGCAGGCTCCATGTATGTAAGCTGCAGGAGCTCTGGAGTATAGGAGCATTTCAGCTGCATGGAGAGCTTGCATGGCACTCATGTTCTGCCAATGGGGGCTTAGGTGCCCTTGGCAGTGTTTTGTGCAGCAAGAACCATACCCTGCCCCAAGAACTTGGCTGGAGGACCAGGAGGAGGGGTTAGGTGAGTGGTAGAGCCCAAAGGGGCATCAGTAGCAGACGAGTGCTGGAGAAGCCGAGTGGTTGGTGTAGGAGCCTGTCACATGCCCACTGGCTGCTTTCTCACTGATGAGACTCATAGGAGTTGCCCAGTCGCTTGCCTGCTGCACTGCTTTGCTGGAGGGGAGGAGGTGAGAGGCAGCCATGCATTGCACAAGTGTCCCTTGTCCTGTGGGCAGCAGTGCTTCGGGCAGTGCCGTTTGTCATAAGCCCTTTTTCACTGGGTTGTGTTCCTCCAGCCACAGCTCTTGGCTAGCAGGGAGGTGCTGTCTCTGTGTCTGTAGATGAGTTGTTACCTCTTTGGTGTCTTGTTTTCATGTTTTGGTGCGGTGCTGCTTTGGCAGCTTCTGGTTCTGTATCTGCCTGTAGACTCTTTGAAGGCAATTGGGTCTCTGATGGCTTCACGCAGGCATCCTGTGCACCAAGCACGGAGTTGTGGCAAAGATAATCACAAATGGAGGTTTTATAGACAGAAGGTGTTACAAAGCCCCTGAAGAGAACTGTTTCTGTGACATTTAGGTTTACAAACTCAACTGCTGTTAAAGACTCAGGTATGGTTACAAGAAAATGCTTTAGCAAATAACCACTGTGGGATTTGTGATCTGAGTAACATGGATCAGTTAACTAAAGAGCAACAGAGAGCATTGAAAAATGGAAGGATAAACCCTGGTAAACCTACCAGAAATCTTCTTTAGAGCTGTTCCAAACCAGATAATCAGAGACTGAGGGAATATCTACTCTGCCAGTGTTTGTAACCATGACCTAGACTCACTCCTTCCTTCTCATTGCCAGGGGTCCAGCCCGGCAGGAGGCTGTCTCATTGCCTTGTCATGTGACTACAGGATCATGGCAGAGAACCCCAAATACACCATCGGCCTGAACGAAGCCCAGCTGGGCATCGTGGCTCCCTTCTGGTAGGCCAGTGTCTCCCACTTCTAGTGTTATGTGTTGGTCTCTAAAGAGAATTAATCTTCAAGGAGTTTATGGATCAGTTTAATTGGCCACTGAGGTGTAGTTTTACGTGTCAGTGATCAGGCAGCTGCAGGAGAGAGCACCTCATTTCTCTGTCCTGTAGGCATCTGTAAAGCTTTCAGGCTACAGAATGTCCTCACATCCTTCACCAATGGGGACCTCGGTTCTGGCTCGGCAGTCAACTCTGAAACAAGTTCTGGGAGATCTCCTTGTCAGGCTCAGCCTGGGAATATGCTTTTCTCTGGACACACGCTGTGTACCTGCAAAACACCATAACTGTGAAGATCTCTGAAAGCTTAGACACTAAGACACAGGCCCTTGGTTGCCCTGAGAACGTGGCACTGAGGGGAAATAGAGCAGCTCTCACGGAGAGGAGGGGGAACTTTGGTAGAACCCAAAATGACTGCTGGCCTGACTGCGCAGTGTGGTTGAGCCTACAGCCTGGGGAGTGAGACCAAGCGTGCTCTTAGCTTCGATGTCAGTGCAGCTGCTGCTGGCTGTTCATTTCCCTGACCATGCCTTTGCCTCCCATCTCCTCTAGGTTTAAGGACACGTTTGTGAACGTTGTGGGACAGCGAGTTGCTGAGCGCTCCCTCCAGCTGGGTTCCCTGTACCCTGCACCTGAGGCCCTCAAGTTTGGCATTGTGGATGAGCTGGTGCCAGAGGAAAAGCTCCAGGAGAAGGCTGCAGCTGTTATGGCCCAGTGGTTGGCCCTTCCTGGTATGGGTGGCACCTCCAACAGGGGAGCAGGGGACCTGGTCTGAGTGGGAAGGACAGGCACCCCAGTTGGTACCTGGGAGCTGTGTAACAGTTCTCTTTGAAAGGGAAGGTGTGGATGGCTGGGAGGTAGGAAAGCTCAGCCCAGCAGTCCAGGCAGCCTTGGGCTAACAGAGGGGCTGGCCAGTGCCCTTGCATGGGAGGACACTGTGCTGGGTGTGCAGGGACATGACTCCAGCTTGGCTCACACTGTCTGCCCTTGTTGAGTCAATCTGGAGGTGTTTGAGTCCCAGATACAAACTGAATCTCTGTGTCTGTCAGTGGGGGTGTTACCCCAGGAAAGCTGCCATGGAGCTGGGGTAGAAGACAGGGTGAGAGTGCCTGGGTGGCTGCCAGTTCACCGTGGTCTGGATCAACCCTTGGCACTCTGCTGAGCTGGAGATGGTGATGGGGGTGTAAGGACAGCCAGCACAGACGTTACATGCATGTTTGGGCTGCTCTGTGACTGGCAGCAGAGGGCTCCTGGGCTGGGAGAGGGCTCCTCGTGGCCAGGGCTAGGTGCGAGCTATCCCATCCCATGCCACCTCCTGTAGCTGCGTAGCACCCCTTGGCTGCTTTTCATGTAGGAATCTGAATGAAACTGCACAGAAAGAGGGGTCCCAGGACTGTCACTTTGTGTCCCAGCTGTGGAAGAGGGTCCCTGAGCAGCTCTCTGCCCTGCCTTGCTGGTGTTAAAGTGGCACCTCAGCTCCAAAGAGTGGGAAGCACATCTCATCTCTCCCCTAGCTTGCAGGAGGCACCATGCAGATCCTTTCCCAGAGCCCTAAATCAGAGCAGGAGTCTGCCCTGGTGAAGGTGTCTGTAGCACACAGGAGCTGGAGCAATTTGGTGTTCCCAGTGCATGGGGGGGTTGGTCTGGCAGTATCCATGTATTCATATGGAGTGGCAGAGGCCCAAAGCCTGCTGTTGGGATAAGCTCAAGGGGATGCAGCTGCTGGCTTCTGACAGCATGCTTGGCATGAGCACTGTCTTGCCAGAGGCTGAAGGCTCTGGGTCATTGGGAGCTTAGAGCCAGAGCAGTTTCAAGTAGCAGAGAATTTTGTCTGGTTACTGCTGTCCTGAGCCTGGTGTTGTTTATTGGGAGGGGGGCTAGGCTCTGGAAAGCATCAGAGAAGGAGGTGCACAGTTTCCTGTCATCTGTTCCACTAGAGAAGTGGTTTCAGCTTTACAGATCATGATTTATTGTATCAGAATTTATCCAGTTCAGCTTCCAGCTGGTGGGGTTTTCTTACACCTTTCCCTATTGGTCTAAGGAGCCCTTTGTTGTGTGGTACCTCCTCATTTTGAGGCACCTGCATGGGGAGGCAGTGGATGAGAGCTGGTCAGGGTGAGGACCATGCACATTCCTCATCCCCACTCTCCTCTCTGCAGACCATGCCCGTCAGATCACCAAGTCCATGATGAGGAAGACAGTGTTGGACCGCCTGGTAGCTCACCGGGAGGAAGACATTAAGAACTTCATCAGCTTTGTCTCAAAAGAGTCCATCCAGAAGTCACTTCGCACGTACATGGAGATGCTGAAGAAGAAGAGCTGAGGAGCCAGCCACCCAGGCCCGGTCTTAGGAGCTTGAAACGCTGCAGCAGCTATAGACTTTCACAGTGAAGTTGTCTGCAGTGTCAGCAGTTGGTGATGTGCTGCCTGCTCCCATGGCCACTCCAGCCACCCCTTTAGTCCCCATAGAGTGCCTGACACCACTGCTGCCTTTCCTGAGAGCGGTCTGCTCAGCTGCCTGAGGAACAGACAGGGAGAGGGTCATGACACCGCTGTGGCCTGAGCCCTCTGGTCCTTGGATGTCCTCCCTCCTATCCAACAGTTAATCATGAAAAGAGATTTGTCAATAAAGTCTTCAATGAGGTAGGAGATGGATGCTTCATTCCCAGCCTGTCGGTGGTCACCGCTTCCTGGCTGGTGGCCTGTCCCCAGGCTCTGGTCCATGGTGGGCTGAGGGGTCTGGGCATGGCTGGTGGCTGGCTGCGACCATTCTCCGGACAAGGATCTGGAGCATCCCTTGTACAGGGATGGTGGATGGGGCTGCAGGGGTGGCTTCACAGGGTTGGTGGTGGGAGCTGGATCTTGATCTGGATCTGGATCATGGTCTGAGGCCACAGGCCAATTCAAGCTGTCAGCTTCACCTCAACTGGATAATGGTCGCTGACTGCCAGGGCCTGGAGGAGGGCAAGAGTTGTGGAGATGTAATGCAATGGTGAGCCCCTCACCATGGTGGTGGGATCGGCAGGGAGGCTGTGATTGCCCTGCCAGAACCTGCCTGCTGGAGGGGGACACGATGTCTCCCACCTGACACTCAACACACGAGGCTCCAGTTTTGCACCCTTTATGGAGGCAGCCCGTGGTCAGCACTGGCAGGGGGGGTGCCTGCCTTCTGAGACCCCTGCGTCCTGCCTGGGAGCCCTGTGCCAGCTATGGGTGGCTGAGGATTGTCTTGTACTGCCCCATGCCCTGGAACCCTGCCTGTGCCTGCCCACGAAAGGCCAGCAAAGCCCTGTGTGCCTCATCTCTTCCCCCCAGGGACAGACAAATCCCCAGTCCTGTTTCCACCCACAGGTCCCTTGTCACCCTGAGCTCCCACATGCCTGGTGCAGGAGCTGTGCAGGAGCAGATAGGCGCTGGGCAGGGGTACATATGCTGCAGCCAGAGCCAGCTCATGCTGCTGCTGAAGCTGCTTCAGCTGCGGTTTTGAGCTGATCCTTAAGTGCGGCAGCTACATGACAGCACTGAGCTGCCTAATTGCTGCTAGATGTCAGCAGCCCCTGGGCCAGTGCTGCCCAGGGCAGCTCAGCCTTGGTGCCTGTTTGAGCCCTGAGTTTGCAAGCCCGGCTCACCTCTTCCTGCTCCAGCTGGAAAGCACGCTGGAAGTTGTAGATACCAGCAGAATTGGGCACGATGCTTCTCTTCAGCTTGGCGCCGCACACCACGATCCTGCCCAGGAGACATGGGCTGTGGGTCCAGCTCCTGTCCCCATGCTCAGGGTGCCCAGGGGCAGCCAGCAGGGTCGTGCCAGCACTCACCTGTCATAGGCACAGTCTGACTTCCCCACCGTGGTGTCGGTGCCATCCAGGAGCAGCCACTTGAAGATGTCGCTGGTGCGCAGGCGGATGGATGACCAGTCACTGTGCTGCACATAGGCGCAGTCAGCGTTGAAGTCCCCCAGGAACATAATGTTCTGTAGTAGGGAGATGGGGGCTCGTGATGGGTGGGAATAGGGCTGTCCCCAAACAACAGCCTCCCATGGCAGGGGATTGGGCAGGAGCAGGGTCCCCACCCCACCGCCAGCCTTGGAGCAGGGAACTAGTGCGGGTCTAATGGTCCCCGCAGCTCAGTGCCCACCCTCAGTGCCATCCCCAGCGCTGGTGACACTCACATCGGTCCCCCACTTGTTGACAATGGCCAGGTAGACATCGTAGAGAGCATCAATCTCAGCGACAGCATCGTGTGGGGCTGAGTGCAGTGGCACCAGCACAAAGTCCTGCACCTCTGCCAGGGAAAAGAGATGTCAGCCCCATGGCTACCCCACGGCACCACCAGGGGCCATTTGTCACCCTGCTTACTGGTGCTGGGTGCTGAGACCCTCAGGATGAATGGCTCTCGACTGAAGACATCCTGGGGATCCTCATACTGGTAGGTGTCCACCACAGACACACTGTCTGTCCTGCAAGGCCAAAGGGGTGATGACCCTGGGGCTTGGCATGGCCCCTGTGTCCCCCATGGTGTCAGTGGCCCCGCAGTGCTGCAGGCAGGTGGCAGAGCACCCAGCCCATTACCTGTAGATGAAGAGGTACATCTCCTTGTAGTTGTCCCGTCCCAGGGGGTGGCTGATCTCATAGTCATATGGGGACGTGGACACACTGTGGAGAAGCAAAGGCAGGATGGTGACATTTCCAGCACCAGTGACATGGCTGGTACCATCCTGGGGTGGCACCAGGCAGCCCTGCTGTGCTGTCCCTATGGACCACTGTGCCCTGTCCATGGGGTGACATGGGTGTAGTGGCTCCAAGCCACCCTGTTGTGCACACCACCCGGGGCATGGCAGGACACGAGGAGGCTCCATAGGGACACTCCTCACCTTCACGTGCAGCAAAGCTAAATCAGGTCAATGAGCAGCCCCAGGCTGTGCAGAGCCTGGCGTCACCCTCCTTGCCTCGGCTGCTGTGTGGCCGTGCTGGAGGGGACACTGGAGGGGCAAGGGTGCGGGTTGGGTGTACCTGCTCCAGCACAGCAAGGCAGCAGCAACCCCTACCCAGCCCCAGCCCCAGCCCCGGCCCCAGCCAGTGAGTGGTGCCGCACTGCCACGGGCACTTCCAGCTCACCCCAGCAGCCCCTTTTCCTACTGGGGTACCTGAGCCACTCACTTCACAGCATCATCTGCCACTGGGTCCATCCCAGGGTCCCCCTGTCACTGACAGGGTACTGGGGCACTGGGGGCTGCCTGCCTCTGCCTCCTTCATCCCTCACCTCGCCCCTGCCCTGTGCTGCTGGATTTTGGAGATGGAGCTTGCTGGAGCTGTGGTCCCTTTCCACCCTGTGTGCTCCAGGAGAATGGCAGCTTCTGGAGGAGTTTTGTACCACTTGTATCCCTCTTCCCCTCCCCAGGTTATTCCCAGGGTCTCTTCCAAAGCTTCAGCCTGCTCCAAGCTTCAGCCGCAGCACTTCCCTCCCATTCCCCTTTCCAGAAGCAAAGCCTCTGCTAATGGATGACTGGTTTTGCCCTTTATTGCTCAACCAGCTTGGCTCTCCCTGTAACACTGGTACCCCAGCCGGGTGCCCCAGCCCTGCTCGTACCTGTTGAGCTGCTCCATGAGCTGGGTGACGGCGCTGAGGTCGGAGTCGCGCACCTCCTGCACCAGCACCACATCGTAGCGGCTCAGGATCTGCGGGACCAAGAGGGACAGTAATGGTGAGAGCGAGCCCATCTACTGCCTGGGCACCCTGACATGGTGCTGGATGCAGCACCACAAGGTCCTGCATGTCCCTCATGCAGGGTGTGTGCCTGACACCTCACCTTGGTCCCCAACAAGCCTTCATCCACCCAGGGCATCCCATCCCCGTGGCACAGGAGCCATGGATGTGTTCCTGGCACAGGAATCACCTCTTGGGCCCACCCCAGCACACAGCCCATCCCTGCACGGCACTGGCTGCACTCACACTGATGATGATGCCCGCCACTTCCTCGTTGGACATCTTGGTGTCACCGAACGCCTGGATGTTGAAGGCACCAATGCGCAGCGTGGCAGTGGCCATGCATGGGAGAGCCACAGCCAGAAGGTACAGTGCCAGCACCACGGTTCCCATTGGGAGCGATGCTCAGCAGGGATGCAGTGATGGGAGACAAACTTTCAAAACTGCTTTAGATTTGGGGATAGAGCAAAGAAAACCACCCCATGTAGGTCCTCCCTAAGTCCTGGCACACTGTGTGCCATGGTGGGTACTGCCTGGAGCAGCCCACAGAGCTGGCAAGGGCTGTCTATTGGCTTGCTAGTCCCAGGGAAAGCTGACTCTTGTCCTGCCTCCATGAGCCCTCCCAGTAGCACCCCTGCCAGCCCGTGGGATGACCCAGCTCTGCTCCTCAACAGGGTATCTCCATCACCCACCACTACCAGCACCCTGGGCTGCTCCACGTCCTTACACCTGATCACAGCCCTGGTGGGTAAGGGAGTGACTCCTCATCCCAGCTCATCCCAGTCCCTCCCAGTTCGTGGCTGAAGGCGCTGATCCCACATCGGTCCTTACCTTGCCGAGTTCGTGACACCTCTGCCCTCCCAGCAGCAGGATGGGCGGCTTTATTCCCGACGGAGGTGACGGAAAAGCAGGATGAGTCGGACACCCCCGTGGGGGTTTTGGCACGGCTCTGGGCTCCTTCCTACATTGGGAAACCCAAACCCCATGGAGCAGTGGGGTGGGGCTGGCACAGCCACCCCTGTGCCGATGCATTGCAGGGTGTATGTAGAGGTGAGGCAGTGCTGGAGCATCTCGGCAGGGCTGGGTGGGTGGATGGGACTTGGGGTTCTGCAAACAGAGTGGTCCCCAGGTCACAGCGAGGGGCACAGCAGCAAGCAGGTGGTGAAGAGCGATGGCCTTAATGTGAGTGATTCAGACGGTGTAATTAGAGGGGAGAGGAGGAAATTGTGGGGTTTCTGGTCAGGCAGGCTGAGCGCCTCCAGCCTTGGCGAGAGGGGATGGCTGCAATCCACTGCAGCAGCTCTGGGGGTCACCCAGGACAGCCCCATTGGTGACCCGAAGCAGCCCCAGTGGAGCTGTTAAACCACACACCAGCACATGGCATCACCCTGCTCATGGCATCACCCCACAGAGGCAGCGGGTGGCTGTGTCAGGGTGCCAGCAGCAGGGCAGGCAGGGAGGTGATGGCTGCTCATGCCTGGGCTCGCTGGGCTGTCCCGTGCATCCCGGGTTTCTCACCCTCACACCCAGTCACAGGATGAGTCTGGTGTCCCTCAGCGCTGTGCCGGCACCGAAACCCCCCAGGAAGCACCGACCCCCCTGGGAACTGACTCATGCCTTCTGCTTCCCCCACCCTCGCTGTCAGCACCCTGTCAGCCATCCACATCTAGGAAGGTTCCAGCGGGATGAGGCTCTGCAAGCTGTCGGAAGAGTATCCTGCATCCCGGCAAGGGGCTCACATCCCGCCCAGAGACCCTAAAGCCCTTCCTGGTGTCTCTGGCCTTACTGCCGGCAGCTCAGAACTCATCACCCTGTGGGTCTGGCTCTCTCAGTGGCAGGAGGGGACCCCCAAACCTAGGGAACACCCTGGTTCCAGCTCCAGTGGGGCTGCCCCCAGCAGGGGGACAGGGGGCTTGGGCACAGGGGGCTGTGGGGGGTAGGCTGAAAGGACTCCCTCCAGAGCTGCAGGGTCATTTTTTAATGGCAACAGAGAGTATCCCACTCCCACAGGACCCTGAGGACATCCTTGTGGAGACAGCAGGCAGCTTGGCTGGCACTGGTGGTGCATGGGCTCCCATCAGGGATGCAGGTGCATGTTGGGGTGTCCTGGTAGCCAGCATGGGGATGGGCTCAGCGGGATTTCAGGGTCACCTCCACTGGGAAATGGTCACTGACAGCCAAAGCCTGTGTATGGGGGGAAAGCAGAGAGGTGGCTGAGCTTGTCCAGACCCTCACCACTGTCATGGGTGGCTGAGACCCCAAAGCTCCAACCCCAAAATTCAGAGCATACCCCAAAATGCTCAAGCTGGGGGGGTTGCATCAGTGCAGAGGTGGGGTCAGGCCACACTTGGCTGCACCCTGGGGAACAGGGAGCCCACCCATGCCTCAGGAGGTGAGAGAGGTTGGATCCCAGTGCTAGTGGGACTATGTGCCCAGCACACACTCACATCCTTGCTCTGGAGGTGGAAAGTCTTCTGGAAGTCATTGACGGTGGCAGAGCCGGGCTCAATGCCCCGACGCAGCGCGGTGCCGCAGGCGACGATGCTGCCGGGGCATCACGGGGCTGTTAGTGCCTGGACCACCCCCCAGCACCAGCACCCTCCCCTGCCGCGGCACCCACCGGTCGTAGGTGCAGTTGGTGTCGCTGACGGTGGTGTCGGCGCTGTCGGGGATGAGCCACTCGCAGGCATCGAGGGAGCGCAGGCGGATGGACTGCCACTGAGCGCTGGTCACGTAGGAGCAGTCCGCATTGAAGTCGCCCAGGAGGAAGATGTCCTGTGGGGCACTGAGCTCTGTCCCTGCCCATGGGCCTTAGGGGGCACCACGTGCTCCCAAAAATATCAAGGGGCAGCAAGAAACCTCCCCAGCACATGGGGGGACAGCCCCCCAGTAATGATACTGGAGCCACCCAGCAGTTCCTTGCCTGAACATTGCTGAGGTGGTACCCGCTCCGATGGTCATGAGGGGTGTCCTGTGGGACACATCCATGCGTGGTGGCTGTACCCCAGGCTGCCCCAGGATGGAGCCGAGCTCCCCACCACCACTTACATTGGTAGCCCATTTGTTGACAACATCAGTATAGACGTCGTAGAGTGCATCGATCTCTGCTGCTGCGCTGCTGGGCTCGGCGTGCAGAGGAACCATCACAAACTCCTCCACCTCTGCTGGACAGGCGGCTGTCAGCCCCCAGCTCGGGTGCAGCACCCGGGAAGGGAGTGGGAACCCCAGGAACTACCCAGGGCCAAGCCCCAGCTACCAGCTGGGAAAAGCTGCCAAAGGGAAAGGGTGCATTGGCTTTTTGTGGTCTGCTAGTCCTCCAGGCTGCAATTGCCAGTGGGGAGTTGCATCCCTCTGCACGTAGTTTGGGGTTTGCTGCTTGTTTCCCATCATTTTTTCCAAGACACTGTGGGTGTGGGAAGGAGATGGAGGTGGAAGAGAGATGGGGGAGTGTGTGCATCCTTGGGAGGTTCTTGGGAGGTGGAGGTGATGGCACGGGGTAAGACATGGCACAAGGTAGGAGACGGGACATGATGGGAGACGGCATGTGATGGAGATGGCAGGTGACAGGGCACGGCAAGCAATGGGGAATGGTACATGATGGGAGATGACACCCAAGTGGAGGAAGCAGGTGGTGGGATATAGCACAAGATGGGAAGTAGCAGGTGATGGGATGTGGGACAAGATGGGAAACAGCTGGAGATGTGAGATGCACACAGCTGGAAAGAACACATGGTGGGAGATGATGGTGATGGGAGATGGCACATGGTGAGAAACAGCAGGCAGTGCTGGCCATACTGGGCAGGTACCCAGGGCCCCTGTGCGCCCATGAGTGGGAGAAGGCCCTGCTGCAGTGAAGGACCCTGGTGGAGCCTCTGAGCTGTGCTCCAGGGTGCAACCCCCCTGCCTGGCATTAGCCCTGCACAGAGGGGACCCTGTGCCAGCCCCAGCACCGGCTCTGCTCACGCGTGGTGGGTGAGGAGAACTTCACAATGAAGGGGTCCCTGCTGAAGGCATCGGTCCCACCGGAGCCACAGCTGTCATTGTAGTAGTAGCTTTCCAGCACTGAGACCATGTCCAACCTGAGGGGGAGAGCAGAGCAGCCCCCAGGACCACTCCTGCTGCAGCTGGGGCCCCCAAACGTACCCACCACCCTTTGGGGGCCAGTGGGGAGAACAGCAAGTGACACAGGGGACGCTGGACCTGGGAGCTTCCCTTACCTGTAGATGAAGACGTACTGCTCCTTGTAGGTGGTCCGGCCCAGGGGGATGCTATCCAAAAAGCTGTATGGGTGTGGGGACATGCTGGGAGGAAGGTGCAGAGAGAGTGAGAGGAGGCTCCTGATGCCCCTCAGCATCCATTGGGCTCTCTCTGGCTGAGACAGAGGTGCCCTGGCACGGCAAGGCTCTGGCTGGGATCTGCCCCAGCATCCCCTTTGCAGGGACCCCTCGCCCTGTGCTATTGGGGGCACCTGTTGAGCTGGTCAATGAGTTTCTTCACGGCACTCAGGTCAGCATCCCGGACCTCCTGCACCAGGGTGATGTCATATCCTGACAGGATCTGGGGGGACAAATCAGAGCTGCTCACGCCTGGCTGGGAGCTGCTCCTGGGGCACCCATGGGTGCCTGGGCTGGGCTGTGAAGGCTCCCAGGCTGGCAACAGGAGGGCAGGAGGGACCCCAGAGCTAGGGAGGGAGCTCCTCTGCCAGCATCCTCTGGCTTGGAGGAACCCAGGGGTGACACAGTGCCCTCTAACACACATCTACCACCCACCACCCCAGCAGCTTCTCACTTGCAGGCTGCTCTGAGTGAGGAACTGAGCAGCATCAAGCATCACACACCCTTGGATGGGGACCAGCAAGAGTGGAGATAGCCCAAGGTTGGAGATGGTGATGGAGGAAGAACAAATGGGTGGATAAATGGAGGCTTGGATGGATGGATGGATGGATGGATTGATGGGTGGATGGGTGGATTGATGGGTGGATGGATGGATGGATGGATGGATGGATTGATGGGTGGATGAGTGGGTGGGTGGGTGGATGGATGGATGGATGGATTGATGGGTGGATGAGTGGGTGGATGGATGGATGGATGGGTGGATGGACGGAAGGATAAATGAGTGGGTGGGTTGGTGGATGGATAGATGGATGCTTGTAGAAAGCTGGTGTCCAACTGTCCCAAGCTGGCTGCATCACAGAGACTAGAGAGCAGCTAGGACTGCTCCTCTCCCCCCAGCACTCACAGAGACGATGATATCTGCGATGGTCTGGTTGGACATCTTGCTGTCCCCAAATGCCTTGATGTTGAAAGCACTGATCTTCAGCATGGTGGCCATGTGCAGCAGGAGAGCTGCAACCAGCAGCGACAGCACCTGCTTCGAGGCTGTCATCCCATGTGCAGATGGCAGAGTAGCAGCCCTCCTGGCTAGGATGGGGATTTGGCACAGATGACAGGGGTGGCCAGGGCATTCCCACCTAGCCATACTGGTTTCACTGGGAGGTTTCTGTTTTCCAGTGAACACCAGTGCCCTGGGATGGTGCATCCCTGTTCTGCCTCACATGGGGCCTCATGCTGCCTATTGCTTCTGGAGGGAGGCCAGAGCAGGTAACTCACTGGCAAAGGAGCAAACGCCATTTCATGGTGACGCAGAGCAGTTCCTCATCCACCTGGATGCCTCTCCTGGCCTCAGATGTGCCCCAGCAGCAGTCAGGGACACCAAGGTCCCTTGGCTTGTCCCTCTCCCACCCCTCCCCAGGGTCTGTGCCTCAAATGACCCTACAGAAGCTGTGCTGGGACACAGCAAGGGATGGATCCCTCCAACCCAACACACTTCCCCACCTCCTTCCCTGCCCAGAGCACCCTCACTGGGGTGTTCTGCCCCCCGGCTCAGCCCTGCTCCATCCTCACCCAGGCTGGAGTCTCCAGGGCTCCCTGGCGAGCAGCGCAGCAGCTCCCACCCACCAGGAAAGGTGTTTGGGAAGTATTTCCCATGGTGCTCGGCTCCCTTGGGTAATATTTCACCAGCGGATGGCATCTGAGCCCAGCTCAGGTGCCCTGAGTGCGTGATCCTGCCGGGAGCCCCAGTCAGATGGGCTGGGAGGACCAGCAAACCCCCCGGCTTTCGGAACACCTGACACCCAACATGAGGAAGGGTTTGCTGCCTCCAGGTTCACTTTTATTTTCTGCTCTAATGAAATCCTTTCCTTCCCCCCCTGTATCCTTGCTACGGCTGCAAGGGCTGGCACCTCTAACCCGCTGTCCCTCACGTTGCTAATGCAGTGATTCGGTAACGCCATGGTTTAGTAATGCTGTGATTTGGTCATGGCAACAAGTGCCCAAAGCCTCACAGACCCTCCCTCCTCCCAGGGAGTGCAGCAGCCTCCCGGGCAGAGGCACCTGTACAGGACCGTATCCACCCCGGGGGATGCTCGTGATCTGCACCCGGGCTCAGCCCCAGCAGTCACGGCAGAACCAAGCTGAGCTGCAGAAGGTGATGGGAGCGGGACGTACCTGTGGTGCTGTGCAAGGTCTCTGCGAGAGGAAAGATCTGCACCTGCATTTATGGGGCGGGATCCGCTCCTCTTGCCAAGCGCTCCCCTGGGGCGAGCGTGAGGCTGCGGGCTCCATATGGCATTTCCCACGGAAACAAAGGTCTGCTCAGTGAAAAGTCAACCAGTTCAAACCAGTGCCAGCACCACCTGCCACAGGTAGGGCTGAGAGTGTGCCTGGAGCCACAGACACAGACAGGAGATCTGTGAGGTGTGAGTGAACCCCTGAGACCACTCGTGGGGATCAGCAGCTCTCCACTATGGGGTATGGGTAGCTCTCGCTCGTCACCAGCTAGGATTTACCTTAAAAAGTGTTTATTTCACCAACACCAACCGTTCCCGCACTGCCAACAAGCTGGTTTGAGGGAGCTGGTGGGATGCTGGTGCTGAGCACAGCCGGAGCATCCCACCATGGCCCTGGTGCTGGCATGTAGAGCTGCGAGCCCCGGTAACAGCGGGTCCTGCCGCGGTGCCTGACCCAGGAGCCCACCGGCGGGGTCCGTCCTGGTCCCGGGGTGCTGCCCCGCACCCCGCATACTCCCTTAGCTCCCCCAGCCCTGCCCCAGTGGCCTTGGCCAGATGCCCGGTCTCCGAGCGCAGCTGCCGCGTTCCCAGAGGGGCCGTGTCGGGTGAATCTTAGGGGATGGCGGGGCCCCGCAGCGATTCCCCATACCAGGGGCTAAGAGACCCCTCAGGGCTGGACCCTCCCCGCACCGCGGCCCAAGACCCCCTCCAAGGGCAAGCCCGCCAGGGGGCGCTGCCAGCGGCGAGCGCGGATTGCCCTGTTTTGTCCATGTGAGGCCGCCGTAGCGCCCGCCCGCCCGCCCTGCGCCTCTGGTGCTGGGAGGCCGCGCAGCGCTGCTCCGGAGAACGGCAGAGGGGGGCCATAGGGGCCCGGTCGGGTCCGGCGTGAGCCATGAGCGACATTCGGCACTCGCTGCTGCGGCGAGACGCGCTGAGCGCCGCCAAGGAGGTGCTTTACCACCTGGACATCTACTTCAGCAGCCAGCTGCAGAGCGCCCCGCTGCCTCTGGTCGACAAGGGCCCCTCCGAGCTCCTGGAGGAGTTCCTCTTCCAGGTCCCCAAGGAGCGCGGCGCGCCGCCCAAGGTGGGCCCCGGCCGCGGCACGGGGGGGCGAGCTAGGCCCCGAGCGTCCGGACAGGGTCCGGGGGGCGGTGGGGGCCAAGGCCAGCGGGAAGCCGGGCAGGCTCTGGGGCTGACGGCGTGGGGCCAGGCAGCGGCACCCGGACGCAGGCCCGAGAAGCGGGTGTGGAGGCCGAGGCTCCAATTGCTCGAAAGCCCTGGGGACGCTGCTGCTGGAGCCTGAGGCCTTATGGGGACAGGATGAGGTCCCTGGGGGGAGGCTGCTGCTGGGGACCGAGGCCTCAGGAGGGTCCCTGGGGTGCTGGTGACGTAGAGGTTCTGGCCAGAAGGGGACTGGCTGGCAAGGCCCCAGTGGACTGGACAGGACTTTGGGATACCAGACAGGGCCCCAGGGAGGGGAGGTACGGGGCACCTCGAGGCCCTTGGGAGCTACCTGCAGGCTCACAGCGTTGCAGCTGGGCCCTAAGAGAGGTTTTAGGTGACTGCTGTGGGATGGAGCTGGGTCCTCCCAGACAGCAGTGACCAGAAACCACAGCTGCTGGTGATCATGGGGTGCATGGGCCTGGGGCATGGGGGGCTGCAGGGCCCAGCTGTGACATCCTCCCTGCCCCCCCCTTCTCCCCCCACCCAGCTGCCCAGTAACACCCTTAGTGCTGTTTTTTGCAGAGAAAGGAAATAGTTTTCACCCCAGTATTGCGCTCGGTCTCATATCTCAGTCCAGGGCAGCACTTGCAGGTGCAGCAAGAGCCAGTCTTGGTTATCCAGGTATTCAAACACCACCTAGAGCTTTTCACTATAACAAAGTAAATGCAGTGGTGGTTCAGGAAGTTTGAGTATGTGTGCTGTGCATAAAGGTTGAGTTTCTAACCCTTGAGGGAAGCTCTAACTCTTTACTCTTCCTGCCTTTTCACCTCTTGGTTCTTCAAGAGCCCCAGTGTATTTTGCAGTTTTGCTTTTGTCTTCTTTCAGAGACTGAATTCACTTCAGGAACTTCAGCTCCTTGAGATCATGTGCAATTATTTCCAAGAGCAAACCAAGGATTCAGTCCGGCAGATCATTTTCTCGTCTCTCTTCAGCCCTCAAGGAAACAAAGCAGATGACAGCAGGATGGCTTTGCTAGGAAAGCTGGTTTCCATGGCAGTGGCCGTGTGCAGGGTGCCTGTTCTGGAGTGTGCTGCCTTCTGGCTGCAGGTACAACTCCTGTGCAGGCAGGGCAATCTTGGGGAAGGAGAGAGGGGGAAGTGCCACGATGGGTGAGCTGGGGCAGTGTCACCTAATGGCTGGTGGCAGCTGGTTGCAGTCAGCTGCTGCTCCTATGGCAGCATAAGCTGATATAACAACATTTGGGTGCCACAGCTATGTTCTCCCTGTGTCTGTGCTTGTGTCCATTCCTCTGTTCCAGCATTAGGGGGAACTTCTGCTAAACCACTTCTGTGTGCACTGGCAGAAGAAAGTTTGCTGTTGTTTTTACTGTCAGTGAAGGTTTTACTGATTCCTTCCCCCTCAAGCCCTGCCTGTTGAAAGGGGTCAGTAGGGGGTTCAGCCAACACAGGGAACAGAACCATCGCTGTCCATGGTCACGTCGCCCAAAGAAGCCAACTTTACAGCTTAGGAAGTAAGCTGTGCCTGATGTTCAAGGTTGTGCATGGCAGAAGAGGCACAAAATACCTGTGTCTGGCTTGAGATTTGGGCACAAAATACCCATGTCTGGCTTCCATTAATGCAGTTTGTTAGGGCTCTCCTTTGTCTCCCTCTTGTCCATTGAGATTTGCCACTGTAGACCTTGGGAAGCAGCATCTTTGCTGCTGCTGCCTTAGTAAGAAAAGCAGAAGTCACCTGTTTTACAGAAGGGGAAGAGCAGAAAGGTGGTGCTAGGAGGGAAGGGTGGGAGAAAGGAAAGCAATACTGTTTCTGTGGGGTCCCTCTTTTCCCACCTGGAGAGCTGTGATGGGGGAAGAGGGGATGTAACCTGGATAGCAGAAGGTGTAGCTTTTTGCATATCCCAGCTCTTAAGTGACATGAGGATTGCACAGTATTTTTTCCACATTAAAAATGTCAAGCACAACTAAGAGGTTACTAAACTAGTTGAACTACAGAACTGTTGCTGAAGTAGTAAAGAAAATCTCAATCTAAGTAAAAATACTGATGTGAAAGGTTTCAATTTTAAACTGCAGATACTGTAAACATGAAATATCACCTATTTAGCACTGTGAAAGGGTAATTTTATTTCTGAGTGAATATTTTATACGCAGAAAGAGACAGCACTATTGAAATTTGGGAAACTGGAAACACAGGTGTTGAAGCAGCAGACAGGCTGGGTGATGGGGGCAGGCACAGTGTATACGCAACACAAACTTTGAAGCTGGCTCTATAGTGGTTTCTGTGGCTGGGTTTAACCTGCTTTTCCTCATGTGCTACACTGCTGCAGCGAACCCCCGCGGTGTACTGTGTGAGGCTGGCTCGAGCCTTGGTCGATGACTACTGCAACTTGGTGCCAGGGTCCATCCAGACACTGAAGCAGATATTCAGTGCCAGTCCTCGCTTCTGCTGCCAGTTCATTACATCTGTCACAGCTCTCTACGACCTCTCCTCAGGTAAGTGTTTCCAAGCTGTGTCTTTTGAAGTAAGAGGAGCAGTATAATGCAACACAGGTTAACTGTTGTGAGGGAATTAACTGTTGAAGTTCTAAAAGTGCTTGTGACCATGTAATGATTGCCAGAAGCAGCTCAGAGGTGTGTCTGTTGCCTCATCTCTCACTGGGGTTAGGATAAAAATAACCACTTGGTTATTTTTTATCTACTGAAGGTAAAGTCTTTGTTAGAGAAGCAGCCATGTAATTCCTGACACAAAGCACAGTGTCCGCCACAAAGGTTCAAAGGACATGGGAAGCTTATTGATGGAGCAGCTCTATGAGTGAAAGCTGATCTGCCTGAGCTGGGCAGCTGCACCTCCCTACTGCATGTCACCTACTCAGCAGATAGACTCAGGGCTGAGTCTGGATCCTACAGAAAAGGGGAGAAACACAAATTCTGAATGTCTGCAAACTGGAGCTGGGTTTCTGTTGAGCGATGATGAGAAATGCAGTCAACAGTGTATTCCAGTGTGCTCTTTAACTGTATGTGTGACCAGGTAGTGATATGACATGTCTCTGTTGTTGCTCAGACACTGGAAATGTGTAGGTGTCTAAAATAAGATTCATTTATTCAGAAAGACAAAAAGAGAGCTCATGGTAGACTAGAGAACAATGTACACTAAATAGCAACACCACATGTAATGCAAAAAAGCAAATATATTTGTTATTGATAAAGGAAATGTTTTGCATGGTCTTCTTCAGATAAGCAGTTTGGTGGTAGCGAGAGAGGTGCAGGCTAAGTATTTGGTAGAGTTCATAGCATATTCTTCCTCAGTATTTTACATCTGTTTTGTGCAATCACAAGTTTAAACAACTAATTAAAGGACGTGCCAAAAGGGAAATTACAAGAGTTATAGGAAGCAATTGTGAGGTTTTTTAAATTCCTTACTTTATTAGAGATGTCACTGGTGGCAAAAGACAAGGAAGCTTGCTCTTCAAAGAGTGAGCTGTAAGTGGGCAGTCTCTACCATGTCCTGAGGACAGGAGTGCGTGACACAGCAGTATCTGTGAAACTGGGTTCTCAGAAAAGTTGAATACTGAAAAACACCAATTCTGTATCCAGAGCACATGAGTAATTCTGTAGTCCAGATGATTTCTCCTATAAGTCATTTCAGGCACAAAAAATCCTGACTAGATAGTTCTGTGCTGAGCAATTTGTTGAGGCTGCATGCAACAAGCAACAAAGTATGTTGCTCAGTCCAGTAGCCCGCCCCTGTGGCAGGGTGATGTGCAACTGCTGTGAAGTCAGCGTTTCTCTTGTCTGTAGCCATGCTGCAGCTCATGAGCACCTTTCACTTCTTGAAGCTTTACATAATCCTATAATCCTTTACCTGGCATGTGACTGTGTTGTCGTGTTAAGTTTCTACCAGATGTGCTTGTTTAGATGAGTCTAAAAGGAAATGAATGGAATGGCGTGAAGAG